GTTGGTCTGGACTCTAACCGACCCTCACAGTTTGAAAACAGTAAAACAAAGTGTTTATTAAATTTGCGCTGAGATGTTGTTTGGGAAACGTGAGCTCTGTCTTTATCTCATTCTTGGCAGCTTAATATATATAAATACTGGGCTAAAGGGCTGCAACCATATGGATTCACTCTGCTGACACACCTGTTGGGCTGCGATGTCACCCACACCTGTACACTTACTGAATGTGTTCACACCAGTGGAGCTTTCCTTTCATCAAACTCACACTGACAGTTTGGTAAATGCTGTCTGTCGGATTATGGAGCCCACCAGAGGTCATATGGTTGAAATATATAAATGTATACACAGTATATGAAATCCATGATTGCTGCAGGTGCAACAACATCAACAGGAAGTTAGATATTATAGTTTGGCTGCACAGACAGCAGGTGGCGCTGCAGCAGAGCTGATTAAGATACTTTTAAATGCTCTAAGCCAGATTAGCGCCAAAGATCACACTCCTCCTCCTCTGAGTCAGAACTCAGTCAGATCTGAACCCCCAGACATGAAACATATGCTGGATCATTCAGTGTGGCCTCCACTTCCCGAGTATATCCAGCCCGTTCTCATTCCCAGAGCATCGAATAGCTACGCTTTGTCACGTCTGTCCCTTTAGTGCCACTGTTCCACGCTAAAAGTAGGCCTGCTAAATATAACCAGAAAAGTCAGTCAGGTGGTGGTTGGGGTGGACCAGCGGGACAAAAACCAGACTTTAACCCTGGAGGCTGGTGTTCGTTTCCCACGTGAGACAAAAAGTAAAGTGATTTCTTTTAGTGATGTTACATAACATACGTAAGTAGCGTTAATTAACATGTAATTTATGTCACGTAAGTAAGGTAGTTATTTCAACCCAAACCACAACCTTTTCCTAAACCTAATCCAGTGATTTGGAGCCTAAATCTAACCAAATTGTGACATTTTACAGCGTTAACCAAAAGTTTCAATTTGAACGTCTAACTGGACGTACAAAAACTAAAGAGTACACAGGACATTAAAAAGTGAGGCCGAGGGTTCTTGAGAATGGGTCCATTTGTGACACCCTGGGATAAAAACGGGTAGTGAGATCATTATTTCTGATGTCCGTCCAAGTTAAACATCCAGAATTCAGCTTACAAACCAGAGAAAGATGCTGCAGAACGTCCCGAGTATCTTCATGATAACTTACTGTACATCCATGCTAACGGCTAACAGCTAATTCTAATATTTGTTTTCTGATTATAGTTTGTTTTGTCAATTAAACGTAGAAATAGATTTCCATATATAAATATCATTTCTACCATGTGACCGCTGGTGTTTCACCTCTGTAAACCCAGTTCCAGGATGTGTTTAGCCTAGCTTAGCACAAAGACTGGAAGCAGGGGGAAACTACACACACACACACACACACACACACACACACACACACACACACACACACACACACACCCCTGTGCTTCTATCCTTATGAGGACCATCATTTTCATAATGCATTCCCTAGCCTTTTACCCTAACGTTAACCATATTCTACCCTAACCCTTAAAACCGAGTTTTACCTTCAAACAGCTCTGTGAAGTTGTGAGGACCAGCCAGATGTCCTCACTTTCCAAAATGTCTACACACAGCTGCAGAACCAACAGAGCTGCTCTGGGATTGTTTGTTTTTTCCTCTTTTTTAACAACTTCAGATGCTTGCTGATAAAAATTAAATGTTGTATTTCCACTGAAACATTTGTGTTTGTGTTTTAAGTTCACTTTGGTTTACATTGAAACACCTGAACAACTGTTCGATCTCATGGTACCCTGAGGATGAACTACAACAACTTTGGTGATCTTCAGACTTTTTCTCTAGCGCCATCATAATGTCAACATTTTAATGTGTCCAATACTTTGGTTTGTGTGTCAGGAATCTGGTTAGAACCCAAAATCAGACTGGAGACAGACAGGTCAAGTTAAGCAGTCCCTCCTGGCCACGATCGCAACTATGAATACAGATTCAGCAAATTCCTGTGAATTCAGTGCGACTTGCAATTTTTTGTATCAGTGCCGTTTTTAAAGGAGGTTAGGTTAGTGTGAGGTTTAGGGAGCTGGCTGCTGAGAGGGGCTGAAGTTTTGGAAAATATATCCAGGGGGATTTGTGGCAGAGTGAGCTGGCTTGGCTGGCAGAGGAGGATATCCGTTTGGAGGTCTCTGAATATGGGGAAAACGAGCAGAGTTTCTAATTACAAGCAAGTTAGTCAGCTGTTACGCTAAGCAAGACATACTATGACTCAACAATCTGAGGGAGACTGGATGTAATGCTGGATCTTAAAGGGAGGTAGAGTGGCTTGGTGACGGTCGGTGTGTTGTCTGCTGATTGCAGGCAGGTGAGGAAAATGCCAAGCCAGAAGAGCCAGAGGTAACTCCCACAACTACCAACTGAGAGACAGATGGAAGAGACACTAAAATCTAATTTTAAGCAAACTTTTTAAAAAGAGGCACATTTCTATCAGCTGGTTTGGAGTGAATAAACCCTGCTATGCAAAAAGTAGTTTTATCAGAAGTTAGGCATTGCTGTATTAGACAAGAAGTAGAAGTTGCAAGCTGGAAATGAAACCAGTCGCATGGACTGGAGCACCACGGAAAGAGGTCTGCAGGAATACAGTACCTGCAGAACATGTCAGGAGATGACCAGGAGTCAAGAGGATTCATCCTCTGGGGACCATGAATGTCAGACAAAATTTGTCAACATGTGGGACCGTTCATCAAGTAGATGTTGAAATATTTAAGGGAAAACGTTAAGTTGACATGTTTGCGGGCTCAGGAAGTAGCTTCACTAACTACATATTCAAAATCATTGCTTCTGATGTGCTGCACAGAAATGTTTAAAAGACATAAATATCGGAGTGTGTTTCTCTGTTTTCAAAGCAGCAGCTGTTTCCTAAATGCTGACGTCAACGGTTCACAATTACATTTCATGAAACTTTAATGAACTCAAAGGGGAAATGTGGTCTTGAGGGCAGACGGAGACGACGAGCACAGAGCTGATCAGGAAAACAACACGTGAGAAAATCACAGAATGAGCTGTTAAATGTTTTCATCTTTACCTCTAATGTTTTATTTTCTCCATCTTTTCTACACCTCCTTCTGGAAGTGGTTCAGGAGCTGTTCTAATATCTGTTATTGAAAACTGTTTCCAGCAGAACAGCCGAGCAGGTGAATTAGTTGAATGGCAAAGCACAGTTATCCAGAAATGAAGAACAGTGAGTGATCCATAAATCCACACAACAAGAGGGGCACGAGGAACACTTCTGAAAACACAAGAACTGAGAAACTACATACAGGCATCGTTTTTATGATTTGTGCATACATTTTAAATTTTTGAAAAAGTTTTTATAATCCAAGCTTTTGGTTAAATAATCTGATGACACATTTCATTAAACTGCATTTTATTGTTCATGCAGATATTTTATAATTCAAACAAGCAGTTTGTTGCTGCATGATTTTCTTTTTTGTGTGTGTGCGCATTTATTACGTGTATTTCCAGTAAGGTGAGTTTTTGTTCTTCTTGTCTTCCCAGAATCAAACCCTGTAACTCCAAACTGTCACATCTGAACTACAACACTGGATGAAGCAGAGCAGATAAACTTGTCTCTGTCATCATACAGAGCTCGCTCAGTTTGGAGATAAAGATCTGTGACGATAAACAGCAGCTGTTCCAAAGGCAGAGCTGGTGGGGGCTGATGGGTAATTGACCTGATGCATTGTGGTTGTTGTTGATCTGATAGGAAGGAGCAACAATACAAATGTGCACTAATATGAACAGTGATTGTCCGCGTATCTTTGAGAGGACCTGGAATTTAACATTCAATACGAGGACGTTTTTGGAAAATGAGTCTGAACTTCTACACCAAAACTTCACCATCAGCAAAAAATAGACAGCTATTGGAGTCAAAGTAGATTAGTAAATTAACTCAGCCATATTAAAAAGGCAGAGTACGCAACAGGATGTTCAAGGCACCTCCGTTTCCGTTCAAATATAAACGCTGTTGGGCTGAAATCGGCCCTGGGTGTGTTCAACACCCTGTTGTGCAACCCAAGCGTTGCAACCATGGCATGAAGAAATTTCAGAGCCTGTTGAGTATGAACTAGTTAAATATGATGTGTTAATGCTTTAGAAACATGAGATAAAGAGTGTTTGTAGAAATCAATAAATATAATCTCCTATACATTTAAATTAAATAATTACTAGCTTATTCCTTTTAAAACTTGACTATAACATACTTACGACAAACGTGACTTCTGTCTTCAACCAAGTACTTTTCCATTGTGTGCACAGCCTTTTTAATTTGGTGGGCTTCATTGACATGCCACTGCTGATTGGTTAACACCCTGACACGCCCACCAAATGAGAGAAAACATACCTAAAAGCCCGCTGCAGACTGTTTCGAGGAAACACGTCATTCAAAGCAGAAACCGTAGCAAACGTTTTGAGATTGTGCCCCAATTTGGGAGTCAGACCTGAGACATCAAACTGTGAATTCACAGCTGCAGGTATTACACATATCTTATAAAGAATTAATCTTACTATCTGAATAATGCGCCCATTAAATAGAAGTGAAAGGAACTTAAAAGTAACACAGATGTGTTGTAAAGCATTACAACTCAGAAACAGTAATAGCAGCACTGCCTGTAATTAGTGCTAAAAATATACGTAAAGGTGTATAAGATGCAACATACTGTTAATCAACTTGGAGTTGAACAGGAATTTATTTTATATTGAGACAATAAAATCATGAACATTTGGTTCTGTGACATCACAGCCTCCACAGGATGAAACACTGTTTAAATCGTCTTTGTTAAACTGGCTGATCCAGGTTCAGTTTGTTGGGTCAGGACAGGTTTTGTGATGACACAACACCTGTGCTGAAAGGAGGAGGCGGGACCTGAACCAGCTGATCACTATCAGCTGAGTCAGAGCTGCAATGCATGCAGGGAAGCAGAGACTTCCTGTGAAGCCATCACCAGTCTGAACGCTCAGATGAAGCCTGACTAAGGCTCAGTGAACAAACATGACAGTTTGTTCCTGTGAACAGAGCTGATCTGTGGTCAGAGTGTCGCCGCCTCACAGGAAACACAGACAGAGTGCATGATGGGCCTGAAGACGCTGCTGCTCGTCTCTCTGCTCGGCGTTCTGGGTAAAAGTTTCTTCTTCTTTAACACGGTTAAATTTAATTATAAATGTTTACATGTTTGAAATGTTTGAAGACAAATGTTGTGAAACTGAAGTTGTTTCAGGCCACGCAGGATTTCTCTTTTTTCAAACCATCAGTTTTCAGACTGACTTCCTTCTTTCCATCTAACAGGATTTAACTCTGTTTGAAAGTGTTAAAATATAACACGACAACTTCTGTGTCCACCTAACAGCTTTTCATGATTGTTTTGATGCAGTTTTAGAAACAGAAGCTCAGTTTATGAGGATAAATGACACAAACACCAGTTTGTTGAGATCTTAAAACTGTTCCTGCAGTTGATAAAGTCACACACTGGTGTCTAAAGAGGAAACTCTGCAACATAAAACTCCTCAGTCAAACAGAAACGAGCTTCTCTTTCAGCTCTGAAGCTGCAGATATTTAGTGGAGAGAAACTAAAGAGAACTCGTGTTAAATGTTTAGTGAAGCGATCGACGTGTGAAAAGGAGACGAGGGTTTGAGTTTGTGATCACTGAATTATATATATAATTTATCTATGTACAATCTATCTATGTGTCTTTGAACACACCACCAGCAGGTGCGAGCTGCAAGTACGTCCAACTGTCTGACAACATGATGGAAAGGATCCGTATAGACCTTTTTAAAAAGTAAGACTCTTCTCCTTTAACCAGAAACAGCTGATAGATCGCTCTGTTCACGCCACCAGACGAAAACAGCAATTACCCAGAGCCCAAAGTGACACCTTCATGACACTTGTTGTGTCCAACCAACAGTCCAGAGCTCAACATTAATAACAAACATCACAGTTAGTACAAGTAAAGTAAAAAGAAGAAAATACCCAAGTAAAGTAGAAGCTCAGACGTCCTGCAGACTAAAATCTATCAGAACTCTAGTGAGGCAACTGTTAGAGACGAAAACTTTAAGATCAGAGGTCATCAGAGGTGACTGTCTTCCTCTTCCCCTTCAGCGCTAAGGGTCGCGGCGGGCAGCCATCATGGCCTCACTCTACCTGGAGCTCCATACAACGTTAGCGAGAACGACCCCGGCCTCCAGCAGGCCGTCCTCGACGGCACCTACTTCTTCAACAACCAATCGAACGACGCCTTCCTGTTCAAGCCCTCCTCCATCCACAGAGCTCAGCGGCAGGTACAACACAGGAAACGCATCATGTGTAATCTGTGGGGTCAAAGGTGAACAGAGTGACCCGTCAGGTCCTTGTCTAGTCCAGAGTCTGGAAACCCTTAATTTACCCCTTTACTGATGATGTCATGAAGGTACTGTAATGGATCCAGTATTGATTTATTATAGAAGGTGTTAAAGGACGTTTAAGACGTAAAACTCTTTAAAATGTTCCACGTGAAATATAAAACTCGTGTTGTTGTAGAAGTGTTTATCATCGTGCCTCTCCTGCTGTTTGTTTTAAGTGAGTGAAAGTCTGAGTATATGCAGGTAGTAAAACTGTGTCTGTGTACTAGTATCACATCTTTACGAATAATTATATTTTAATGTGTAAACAAATTTAATAAATAATTTGCACCTTAACTGAAACATTAATGTAATTTTAAAGGTGCAAATTTACTTTTCTTGGAACTGCAACTGGAAGTTTTTTTTTATCCCATTAAAACTCCATAGTGAATGTTCACTAAGCTCCTCCCCCTGCATAGTTATTGTCCAATCACAGCTTAGCAACAGTAACTACAGAGACAGCAGGTATAGTTTCAAAACAGTGATGTTGCAGCAGGTGCATAGGTGAATCCATGATGACGTCATCATTTATTGGTTGATTTAGACTTTATGTTGATAATCTGACGAACATTATAATCACAAAAGTAACTAAAGTAATTAAATTATATTAAACATATTTAAGTAAGATGTTTGCAACATCTGTAAAGTACCTCATAGTTGTACTTAAGTACAGTACTTGGGTAAATGTACTTAGTTGATCTGTTGTTGTGTTTCAGGTCGTGAAGGGAGTTCGGTACATTGTAGATTTGGAGATTTCCAGAACCATCTGCCATAAACGAGACAACAAGGATCTTTCCAACTGCGACTTTCAGCCAGAAGGTCGTCTGCACCAGGTGGGTCTGAGTATGTGCAAGTAGTAAAACTGTGCAGGTGCACCCGGTGGGTCTGAGCTAAGTGGGGCTCTTGTTGAAAATTCTAAATGAAATAAACTAAAATGATTTTTCACTGAGGTGGCACAGATCGGTGCACACATGGCAAACACCAATATTTATAAATGTCTGCCAGCAGGTGGTGCTATAATCAGTGTGTTTTGGCCCTCCCACGCAAGATGTCGCACATTTAAACACCTTATATGCTAGTGTGCCCTGAATCTAGCAGCATCTCAGGATATAGGACACGACACTCCCTATTTTTGCCCCAAAATTTTCCTCGCAAAATGTGCAAAACCTACTTTTTCTAAATCCTGCCGGGCGGTGAATCCGATCTACATGAAACTTTGCACAGACAGACTCTATAGACCCTCATGATCCAGTAATATTTATTTGGGGCCAATCTGCCACTAGTTTGCTTTTATTTCAAATCTCAAAGTGTGCTAAAATTATTTTTCCAAACTGCTGTTTTTAAATTAAATTTTACCAAATCTATGTGCTGCTCTCCTCCTGCAACTTGTGTTGCGCCAGTGGGACTGTAGGTCTGACATGCAACACCTCTACAGGTCGCCAGCGGGGAATTTTCTTGGCACACTTTGGGCCCCATAGTACCAACTGAGCCTCGTTTAAACGCGACAGAGTATTGTTGCTGTGCATGTCCATCCTTTTCTGAACACAGTGTACCATCTTCTGATGGCTGCTTCCAGCAGGATAATGCTCAAATCATCTCAAACTGGTGTCTTGAACATGACAATGAGTTCACATAAATTGGCCAGTGAGTGTATACCACTAAACTTCACTTACTGCTGTGTTTTCCAGACGTTTCAGTGTCACTGTGAGGTTTGGGTGATTCCCTGGCTGAAAGAGATTAAAACTGAGGAGTTCAGCTGTAAATCCTGAAACCACTGGCTGACTCCAACCTCCATCCTCCATCCTCCATCCTCCTCATTCCTGATGGAGTTCACTGTGATGATGACGGTTACCTCCACTTGTCTGACCTGCTGCTCCTCATTTCATCTGTAAAACTAAACCTTTCACAAAAAGTTGTTCTGTAGATGTATTTCTCTTTTCTACACTGAAATATTCAGTTTGGTTGTGTGGTTGTGTTGCATGCAGACGAGTCCACCTGCTGGTCAGGAGGATGTACAGCGGCAGGTGGTCTGTCAAACAACACCCAGATTACAGATTGAATCAAAACTGAGTTCAGAACAGAATTTAAATTAAGATGTTTATATCACCATAAAGTTATTGTAAAAACTGCAATAATAAAAAAAACAACTTTAAAAAACAAGTAGTGAAACAATGATCTGGAAACTAGACACTGGTGAGACAGACTAAATACCAAAAGTACAGGAAGTAAAACAAGACAGTGACACCTGGGGCCTGCACCACGAAGCAAGTTCAACATACCCAGGATATGTTTTCGTTATCTGGTTTCACTAACCCGAACAGTCGGGATAAGCGCTACCACGAAGCTGGTTATCGACTCGGTAAGTCAACCCAGGGTTTCCCAATCCAGCATAAAAGAGGCGGAGTTAGCAGCAGATGACCAGTCACAGACATGAACAGGTCCACTGTCAGCAGAGCGTCATATTTTATGAACGAGGATTAAACCGTAACACTACAGAAACACGACAGCAGCACGGCTGCAGCTGACACATGCAGGGAGACGGTGTGAATGTCTAAATGAACAGTAGTATATTCTATTGTGTTGATTTAAAGTGTTCTTATGAGCTGGACGAAAATATCAGCCTTATTCTTTCAGCTCGGCTGTGTGTCTCCACATTAAAAGACTCGGGCGCTGAATAAGTGGTCTTCCCCCTCACTTTAAAAAACTCGTCCCTTCAAAAATGAGATTAATTTAAAAGTGTTCCAAACGTTGTTCTAAATTAACTTCATAACGCAATGAAACAAAACTCCATTCATGCCATAAAATGAGCTCAAATAGTGTCTGAAAGACTGAATGTCAACATCTAGGCTGCTGAAAGCTCACATGATGAACATGAACATGACCGCAGTCTCTGTAGCAGGCCTAAGAAAGCTATACTAACCTAAAATAAACAGCCTACGTTCATATTAAATTTAGTATTTCAATATCCCGACCAAACTGCTCCTAATATTGAAAAATAAAACCCCTTTCTTTAAAAATATTAAAGACATTTAAAGGCAGTAAATAGGCTGATCCTGCTGTGCTGTAAAAACCTGCAGGCTCAGTCTCTGCAGGATTATATCGCTGGAGTCAAGAGTTTCTCCACATCACCGCTGCAAACATAAAGCAGCCTATTGGCTAAAACAGTCTGTGGGATTTCCTACAGATGGTGACGTCATTTTCACAGAGTTGGTCTCTGATCTGGAACAGAACCTGCTCCGGAGCAGGTTAGCCGTTCAGCATAAGTTACCATGGGAAGAAGTGAACCACCTTCGTGGTGCTGAAAACCCAGCAGGGTTAACCCTGAAGTTACCTGGATAAGCTCAAATCCTGCTTCGTGGTCCAGGCCTCAGTGGGGTCGTTTGCCACGATCGTCGATACCGCTGGTTCGTGAGTGCTCCTGGTTGCTGTAATGACAGTCGTTATGTTTGTTAGAACCACCCCAGGCCACGTCTGAAGACCATTGTTGGCATCTTCACCTTACATAACCTTATTGAGTTTGATTTTTCTGTGTATTACTTAAAAAACAATCTAAATATGCATTAAAATGAACAGTGAGTGTATGCCCATGTATCTTTGAGAGGACCTCAATTGTAACCTTCAAGTTGAGGACATTTTAGAAAGAGAGGACTTTTTTTAGAAAGCTAGGATGTTTTTATAATGAAATATTTTGGTGTCAAACAGGCTTTGAGGTATGCAATGTCCTGTTTGGTGGGTGTGTCCGAGGTGTTACCCAATCAGCAGCGACATTTAAATAAACACTTGCCTGATTACAAAGATAGTGACGTTCGGTGTGCTTCAGTATGCAACAGAATCAAAAGAATCAGAAGGAGCTTTATTGCCAAGTAGTGTTTTACACATATGAGGAATTAGCTGTGGTTCAAAGTACCACCGTTTCGGTTTAAATAAACATTTTGATGGGTCTGAAATCAGCCCTGGTCTGGAGCTCATGCGAGAGTCGAGCCAGAACCTGAGACATCAAACTCTGACTTACAGCTGCAGGTATTACACATATAATATTACAAGTTAAATATTGCAACACAGAACCACAAAATCACAACTACACGCGCACAGATAGAGGACTTTAGGCAGCTTGTTGTAGGTTAGCAATGAGATGTGAACTCAAATCAGCTCCTCTGGTAGCTCAGTTTGACACTTCACTGATTAATAATTATAACATTGAGTGTTCAAATCCTGATGAGTGGGGTTTCTTCCTATAATTAGTGTTATATAAATATTAGGGGTAAAAGGTGCAAAATACTATTAAACAACGTAAGTTTTTCAGAGACTTCCTGTCAAATCAACACCAGTGTGAACATTAAGAAGAAGCCTGACTGATGCTCAGTAAACGTGATTCCAGTGGATTTCAGTCTCTGAGACGTCACATGTCGAGTCACACAAGGTGCAGCTGCTGAGTATAAAGGAACGAGCAGGAGAGTTTGTTCCTGTGAACAGAGCTGATCTGTGTTCAGAGCATCGAGGCCTCACACCAAACAGACGAGAACTCACAGACAGAGTGCATGATGGGACTGAAGACGCTGCTGCTCGTCTCTCTGCTCGGCATTCTGGGTAAAAGTTTCTTCTTCTTTAACACGGTTTAATGTTGGAAAGGGGCCACGCTGGATTCCTCCTTTTCCAAACCACCAGTTTTCAGCTTCTTTCTTTCAAGCTAACATGATTTTAACAATTTCACGTGTAAAACTATAAAATGACGTCATCTGTGCATGAACAGCTTTTCTTGTTATTTGGATGCATTTTTATAAACAAGCTCAGTTTTGAGAATAAATGACACAAACACCAGTTTGTTGAGATCTTAAAACTGTTCCTACAGTCAATAAATTCACACACTGGTGTCTAAAGAGGAAACTCTGCAACATAAAACTCCTCAGTCAAACAGAAACGAGCTTTCAGCTCTGAAGCTGCAGATATTTAGTGGAGAGAAACTAGAGAACTCGTGTTAAATGTTTAGTGAAGCACCGTTTCTCTGTGATTGTTGTGTGAAAAGAGTTTTAGGTTGTGGAGATGAACTGTGATCTAATTAGTGTCATCTAATATTAAATGATCATTATCAATCGTCAGAAACTATCTGCAGTGGTTGTTTCATCAAAGATTAACAGCAATGAGAAGAAATGTTTTTATTAACACAGATGTCAATATTATAAAAATATTGAGTAAGAATGACATATATTCAATACGCTGTATAGTTGTAATACAGATTATAAATGTCATTCCTGCTGGTGCGTTCATAGACACACCTCTGGACTCTGACAGTCAGCTGCTGAACAACATTTTTTCATAACACTAGAAACACCCAAATTCACAGGAATGTTTTCCCTGTGTGCTTCCTGTTTGTCTTCAAGAAAAGAAATAGACAATAAATAATAAAGGAACAAATACACGAGGGTTCTCAGGTTTACAATGTCTGGCCCATGTCTAGTTGCTGATGGCAGAAGGAATAAAATAATTTGCATATTGGTCAGTTTTTGGTGAGGTAGCGCTATCTCAAGGGCATTAAACAGAATTCCTGACTAAGAACGTGGTCTGAATGACTGATATTTATTCATTTAGCAACTTACAGTTGCTATTTATCAGAGGTCATACACCTCTGGAGCAACTAGTTGGGTTAAGTGTCTTGCTCAGGGACACAATACTGGATGTGTCACAGTGGGGATTTAGCCTTCTGGACCACTCGTTTTTTCCAGAGGGAGCTCAGGTCTGTCAGCTATACTCCAATAATCTTGGAGCGGATTTTTACAGTGCTGAGACTATTCTTGTCCTTCACAGACAATCCATAAAACCAGCAGATAAAAGACATAAGATCCTCTGGGAGATATTAAAAGAATTCAGCGATCGCATCAAGTGGAACCTTTGTTGACCCCGTTTAGAGATTAACTCTGAGGGGACAGCAAATTTAGAGTTACACAAGCTGCACACTCACTACTTTACATTGTAGCAAAGAGTCATTTCTTCAGTGTTGTCACATGAAAAGATTTAATCAGATATTTAACAAATATGAGGGATGTACCAGCAGGAAGAATTTCTCTCCAGGAAATAACGTGTTGAATTAAAATAGCTTCTACTTGTTGAAGCTGTTTTACTTCATATTTGTTCTAATTATAAACTCAAACAAACAAGACTGCAGTGTTTGTTTGCCTTTGTGCGTCCTGTCAGCTTGTTATTTATGTCCTCAATCATCAAATTATAATGTTTAACACTCTGAAAACAGCTCTGTAGTGCAGTAAAAAGTACTCTGAGATGTACTGCAGTAGAGGTAGAAAGCAGCACTAGACGAAAATAAAGTCAGATCTCCTGCAGTCTAAACTCTATCAGAACAAACTTTATTGAAGCAAATGTTGGAGACACCACTTTAAGGTCAGAGGTCAAAAAATGTGAATGTCTCGTCTTCCCCTTCAGTGCTGGGGGTGGTGAGCCGTTCTACCGTCCTAGTACCTGGAGCTCCATTCCCCATCAACAACAATGACCCCGGCCTCCAGAAGGCCCTCGTCGTCGCCATCAACCACTACAACACCAAATCAAATGACGCCTTCCTCTACAGAATCTCCTCCATCAAGAAGGCAGAGAGTCAGGTACACATCCGGGCACTCTGTGGGGTCAAAGGTCAACAGCAGAACAGCTGGACCTCTCTGGTCCTTGTCTGGTCCAGAGTCTGGAATCCCTTAATGACTAAACGTGTCCCTAATGTTGCAGCAGGTAAAGGTGTGTAGCTGAATCCATGATATCATTTATCAGTTGATTCCGATTTTCTGTCCTCGGAAGGAGGCGAACAACGTAATCAACTAAAGTTCTCAATGTAGCGGCGTAAAAGGTTTGCTCCTGATGGTCGAGCCAGCTGAGTGTTAGTGAATGAGAGACAAATTCTAAAGCACTGTGTGACTGCAGCCATCAGCAGTTACCCAGGTGAAGTACAAGTACCTCACACTTCTACTTAAGTACAGTACTTAGTGACTCTGCTGTCTCGTGTGTTTGTGTATTTCAGTTGGTTGCAGGGACTTTGTACATCGTGGATTTGGTGATTTCCAGGACCGTCTGCCGTAAACCCCCCAGCGACCAAAATCTGTCCAAATGCAACTTTCAGGCTCCTCGCAAGGTGAGTCTGAACAGGTGCACCATGGGGGGTTTGTACAGCTGAACACAATATCTCAGGAACACCTGGAGGGACGTTCTTTGACTGGAAGATGAACTGCTTAGAATTTGGAGGTCAAAGGTCACTGGCACCTCACTAAAAACGTCTGTGGTCATTGGTCAAGAACTGATGACCTGATTTCACAGCTGGTTGGAAATGTGATATACAAACTGTGGTATACAAGGACAGCTGTTCACATTCAGTTGTTATGATCACATTACTACCAAGCAGGTGTGACAACACAAGGCACAGTGATATTACTGACCAGTCCAGCAGGAGGAAGGACAGCTCACTGTTTTTTCCTCTTCTTAACGTCCTCTGCTGTCTCTTTCAAGCAGGATTTGTAGGTAAAGGTCTTTTAATGTGAAAAATCCACTTCCTGTTGTGTTTTCCAGACGCTTCAGTGTCACGTTAAGGTTTTGGTGGTTCCCTGGCTGAAACAGACCACAACTCTGGAGTTCAGCTGTAAAGCCTGAAACCAGCAGCTGCCTCCACCTTCTTCATCATCATCCTCCTCCCTGATGGAGTTCACTGTGATGGTGTCGTCGGCTCCACCTGCAGCTCATCATCTGTAACACTAAACCTTTCTCACAAGTTTTCCTGCTGATTTATTTCTGTATTTACGTGTAGTGAAGCAGAAACTGTGCTGTCTGTAATCTTTGGTTGTGCTGAGTGCAGACGAGGCCACCTGCTGGTCAGGAGGATGTACAGCAGCAGGTGGCCTGTCCTACAACACACACACACAAATAAATTCAATCAATCAATCATTCAACCAATCAAAACTGAGTTCAGACCAGAATGAAACTTTGATTCTTAATTTTAATTTCTATCACTGTAAATTTATAATAATAAAAACACTGCAAACCAAGTGGTACATTATGAGACTGAATTTCTTTTCTTTAAAGTTTCATTACTTTACTGATTAATATTCTCTTTAAGATAAAAAAGATCACAAACACTAATTATTTATGATGCAATTAAGGTCTTTTAACTAGATTTCAAAGGAATACAAGTCGTGTTCAAGGATAGTTTTAGTAGTTGGAGGTCAAATATTTCTGAGAACGCAGCATCAGACTCCCAGCTGCAGGTATTACACATATAAAGAGTTAAAGCCCTCCTCCGGTGTATTTTGACATTTCTAGGATATTTCATATTTTTCAATTAAATTTTATTTATATAGCGCCAAATCACAACAGTTATCTCACAGCGCTTTTCATAACAGAGCAGGTCTAGACCGTACTCTATGATGCTATTTACAGAAGCCCAACAGTTCCCACCAAGAGCAAGCACTAGGCGACAGAGGCAAGGAAAAACTTCCTTTTAAGAGGCAGAAACCTCGAGCAGAACCATGGCTCAGGGTGGGCGCCATCTGTCTCGACCGGTTGGGGGTGAGAGAGAGAGAGAGAGAGAGAGAGAGAGAGAGAGAGAGAGAGAGAGAGAGAGAGAGAGAGAGAGAGAGAGAGAGAGAGAGAGAGAGGGGAGGCAGCCTACACAATATCCACACAGAGGTACAGACAGTAAAGGTGATGTTGCTATAGACTAAATGAAAAATGGTACAGATATTTATAGTAGTGTTAATGATAACAATCGTAATGTTAATGATGTAATAATAACAATAGGACTAGTAACAATAGTCGTTGCAGCAGAGGGTGTCGAGCAGCAACACGGGGGCAGCAGGTGACCCGCAACCACAGATCCAGACTCCACAGCTCCAGAGCCAGAAAACCTGCAGGAAGTGATAGGAGGAGAGAGGAGAGGGACGAGAAAGCACAAGACTACCAGAAAGGGGAGAAGTTGTGTTAACATGCAATAATGGGATGAGGTTGCATACAGAGGGAGAGAAAGTAGAGGAGAGAGGAGCTCAGTGCATCATGGGAAATCCCCCGGCAGTCTAGGCCTATAGCAGCATAACTAAGGGATGGTTCAGGACTCACCTGAGCCAGCCCTAACCTATAAGCTTTATCAAAGAGGAAAGTCTTAACAGGAGAGGAGCTTGATAGCTGAACGCTCTGGCTCCTAGTCTACTTTTGGAGACTCTAGGAACCACAAGTTTTTCTGATTCATTTCCTTACAATGTTGATTACCCAAATTTTATTCCAATTTTTCCCCCAAATAGCTTAATTTTGTGTTCTAAGTTGCAAAAGTTGCTTGGTTGTTAAAACGGGGTGGTGACATATGAGCTTGCGCAGGCGCACTGTCATGCCTCGTTAAAAAAACATGCTGTCATAACTCGTTAAGACAGAGCATCAAACCACAATAAACATTGTTGTGAGCTAGCAAACCAATGTATCATTTTATTTAGAACTTAGGCATATCTCTGTCTGTCTGATGGTCGGTTTGGCTTTCTAGGTTAGTTAGCTAAGTTAACTAATGTGTAGTTAGCCAGCAGGGTCTACATTTTACTTTTTAGTTTCTTCCTCTTGGTTTAGTTTACTGCCATGTGGGTGTGTGGTATTTGTAATCAGTGGTTGGACGTCTTGGGTTGGAGGACAGATGACAGAAGTCGCGTCACACTTTCACCTGTCACAGTCTTATACACAGTCTGCAACACTCATTTTACGGCCGTTTCACCGAAACATCGGCGCAGGAAATGGTATCAGAAGTCTGAAGCTGAGGAGCGATGCAATCAGCGGCGAGTTGTGTACTGTGAAATGTTTCAAATGATTTATTCTTTATTTATTCTTATTATTATATTGAACTAACGTTTGTTGACGTAGTAAAAATGTTTATTAATTAACATGATGTGCTGTCTGTGTGTGAGTGAGTATAACATCCTAATAATTCATTAATTAATTTCAATTCATGAGACAGGTTTGAATCCAGACATGGGCTTCTCTGTGTTTGCATGTTCTACGTGTGTTCATTTGTGTTTCAGTGTATAATCTGATATTTCTAAATGTGTTCTGAGTGTTGTAGCTGTGTAATTAGTTTTGTAAGGGCAGCACTGGTGGCTTTGGCCAAGCTGGAGGCAAAGAAGTGACAAGAGCAGCTGCACAATCATAGGTCATAGTTTATATACTGTATCAAAACTTCTTGTTGTTTAATATAATATAATTACATTTTCTTCTTTACAGAAAGAAAGCAGCTGAATCTGTGGAGGCCAGCCATTGTTAAACATCTGTACCTGACTGTAGCTTCTTTCACTCTAACTGAGATGCGATGGTGAACCACGTTCAGAACATCCATGAACACAGCTCGCTGGAACCAGTTGCGGTTAAAATGATTAGCGGTCCAGTCTTCAGTGGTGCTGGTTAATTCCTGGTTTAATTTCATTTCAGTGCCTCCAGAAATAAAATGTTGTGGAGGTAAATTTCCCAGATTGGGCAAAGAATTAGGAAAATTAATGAGGAAAATAAATGGAAATTTATCACATTTACTAACATTTGTACTGAAGTAAATCACAGCTAATTCTGTAGGGTAAAGATTCTGTTTTGAAACAGCCATTTTGGAGATTAAGAGTAAACACACGTCATCAACAAGACGTTACTAACTTCACGAAGATATCATTTATTGCTTTACTGGACCGTAAACTTTTTCGCTTGGTTAAAAGAAACTAGTTTTTACTGGACATGGATATTCTGTGCGGTCAAAAGCTAATAGCGTTGCCTCAACACTTACAAGAAGAATTTGGCCTTACAAATGTTCCATATGTTGTCTTTACTTCTGGGTTTTTTCACACATGTACAACTTGTGAACTGCATGATCTGCCTTTTCCACAGGTTTCTCTCCGTACGTCTGCATTTCAACCACGATGGAAGCTGAGAGGTTGCTCTGATGGTGTGTTATATTCTATAAACATGTTTTTCCTTTCCCCAGCATACGCATCAGCCCTCACGGAGTCCACTGCACCTGCCCCGCTTAGCAGATCGGCCAAAAGATTCAACGGTTCAAGATCAAAAGATCTTTATGAATGAAGGCAAAGCCAGATCAGTCCAACAATTAATATTATCCTGGGCCAAAGACATCCTCAGTCACATTTGTCTATTTGGAACTTATCTAAACAACATCTGGTAAACAAATATGTCTCAGCCAACACAGTGCAAGAAAGTATTTTGTTCTGTCACCGTACTCGGTGTGTATTTTCATGTGGAGCCAGCGGATGTTCATTTAAATGTGTTCTATTATTGACAAAATAGCACAGTTCAACAGAGCGATCGAGTTCAAAGTGGCTGGAGGGCGCCTTTAAATATTACAACACAGAACAACAAAATCCCAACAATACGCACAGACCGAGGACTTTAGGCAGCTTGTTGGAGGTCGGCAGTGAGATCTGACCTCAGTCTGACACGGTGCTAATTAATATTTAATGTAACATTGAGGGTTCAAATCCTGATGAGTGGGGTTTCTTCCTATAATTAGTGGTGCAAAATACTATTAAACAACTTCATTTATTTGAAACTAACACAGGATGAAAACAGTTGAAATCCCTTCAGAGCCACTTCTTTATGAAACTGGCCGGTCCAGGTTCAGTTTGTTGCTTCAGGAGAGGGTTTTTTTTAGGTTTTCTGATGAAACACCTGTGCAGGAGCTGGAGCCTGAACTAGCTGATCACTGTCAGCTGGGCTGCAACAGGAAGTGACGTCACATGTCGACGAGTATAAAGGAACGAGCAGGAGAGTTTGTTCCTGTGAACAGAGCTGATCTGTGTTCAGAGCATCGAGGCCTCACACCAAACAGACGAGAACTCACAGACAGAGTGCATGATGGGACTGAAGACGCTGCTGCTCGTCTCTCTGCTCGGCGTTCTGGGTAAAAGTTTCTTCTTCTTTAACACGGTTTAATGTTGGAAAGGGGCCACGCTGGATTCCTCCTTTTCCAAACCTCCAGTTTTCAGCCTGACTTCCTTCTTTCCGTCTAACAGGATTTAACTCTGTTCGGGTGGGAATTTCTGTAAGCTGTGTACGCAGCAGCTTGTTCAGCGCTGAATTGAACAGCTTTTCTTGTTGTTTGGACGCAGTTTTAGAACAGAAGCATGATAAAGTCACACACTGAAACTCTGCAACATAAAACTCCTCAGTCAAACAGAAACAGCTTCTCTTTCAGCTCTGAAGCTGCAGATATCTAGTGGGGAGAAACTAAAGAGAACTCGTGTTAAATGTTTAGTGAAGCGATCGACGTGTGAAAAGGAGACGAGGGTTTGAGTTGTGATCACTGCAGCTGCCAAAGTGGAGTCAGTTAGAATCTGCCAAGCAGCAAAACTTCCCCTGACTGAAATACTTTATTTTGAAGACGACTGACGATTTTCTGAACTGTTATGGTTTAATCTTTAAAGCAGCTAACTCTGTCAGAGAAATGTACTGTAGTAGAAAGTGGTAAAGTACAAACTCAGACGTCCTGCAGACTAAACTCTATCAGCACAAACTCTAGTGACGAGTGTTGAAGACAAGCGCCACTCTAAGGTCAGAGGTGATGGTTTCCTCTCCCCCTGCAGCGCTGGAGGTGTTGGCGGGCCCAGAGTTGGAGGTGTGACCAACATCAACAAGGACGACCCCGACCTCCAGAAGGCCCTCCTCGTCGCCACCAACTACTACAACACCCAATCAAAAGACCCCTTCCTCTACAAAATCTCCTCCATCAGCAAGGCACGGAGTCAGGTACGACACAGGAAAGGTTTCATGTGCACTCTGTGGGGTCAAAGGTTTCCTCTAAACGTGTAGCTGAATCCATGATATCATTTATCAGTTGATTCCGATTTTCTGTTATCGGAAGGAGGCGAACAACGTAATCAACTAAAGTTCTCAATGTAGCGGAGTAAAAGGTTTGCTCCTGATGGTCGAGCCAGCTGAGTGTTAGTGAATGAGAGACAAATTCTAAAGCACTGTGTGACTGCAGCCATCAGCAGTTACCCAGGTGAAGTACAAGTACCTC